GTTTAAAAAACACAATTAAAATTAATAAAATATCCTAGCAACAGCTAGCGGTAGTCTGTTGTATCGATAGAGAAAGCATAATATTTAGCTTATAAAACAATAAACTTTTGATTTCTAGCTACAATTTCTCTTGACAGGTGATAATCAAAATGACATTGGCCATTCCTCCCCACCAAATTTTACGAGAGGTATAATCAATTGAAACGTCAAAAGTTTGTTAACTTTTTCCAATAATTGAATATTAGTACCACTAATTATGACGTTCTGAACGCTTACATTAAAATTAAGCGAACAAACTTCTACAGCTAATTGGTACTAAAATTTATTCCACTGATTTCAAAGTTCTGAATGAAACTTAAAGCTTCATTCAGAACCTCTAATGGAATAAATTGAAATGGTTGAAATACACTATACTTTTAGTTTACGATCATTTCACAATGTCTAAAAAGAAACGCAATTAAAATGAATAAAATATCTAGCAGCAGCTTGCGGTGAGTCTGTTGAATAAGAGTACAAGAGAAAGCATAATTATTTAGCTTATAAGGCAATAAACATTTGATTTCTAACCAAAATATTTCTTGACGGGTAATAATCAAAGGCCAAATGACATTCCTCCTGGAAATTTTTGAATTTTGGGGAGTATAATTGGTGGAAGAGTCAAAGGTGGAATTGGTAGGTTTGCTTTGCCACTAGTGAAAATTACTACACTAATTATGACGTTCTAGATGCTTACATTAAAAGTGGGGTGGTAAAACTTCTACGGCAGCTAACTGAAACTACTAATTCATTCCACTGATTTCGAGGTTCTGAATGAAGCGTTAAATAGCTCTACTTAAGAAACTGAAAGGTTTAGGGATAGGAGTATGATAATCGTTGAAAAGCAATTTTATTAATCTTTTGATTTTTTAAATAATATACATAGGGTTGAATTTAAAATAACAAAGATTTGAACAATTTTATAACAAACGGAAATAAATAATTATGATTATTGTTAGTTCCCAGTAGTTAGAACGCAGAAAAAAAAATCGTGGGTGTTTGGGAAGGCTTGAAAGGAAACAATGTTTTTTGTGACGTTTCGCGACTTTATTGTAGCTTCTTCAGGCACCAAGTCATATATTAATCCATGTTATGCCACAAACATTCATGGCGATTCCAACCGCCAACAAGACACATACAGTCGAATCGAACAGAAACTTGACGGGTATTTTTTGGTCCGATATACACCGATGCTCGGTTTGTGTCGTACTCTGAAATGAATAATATTTATGACAAATCGAATATATATCGACTTTCGTTAACTTTGCCTTAAATTTAAGAAACTTTAAAAGTGTTTAATGTAGTTTCCTAATGCTTTGATATTCACTTGAGATTATTCTTCATATCCGTCCTTCTATAATAGCTTTTGGTAAGTATCACTATTGCTATCCTGCGCACAAAGTGGTTCGAAAGAATGTGTAATGTAAACAAATATCCTCATCTTCGGCCCTGGAGGCGACCCATCGGTCCTTAATTAGTTCATTTTTTTGTGCCGTCGCGTATAGTTGGTTTAAAAGAATGTTGTTACGATGCCAAGGATACGGGAAAGATGAAAATATTTTTAATCAGCTAAAATCATTAAAAAACTCTGATCGTACCAGAAAAAATTAGCTAGTGATGGTGAAGATTTTCTTCAGAGTCATGATGATTTAGAAGGTAAATAAAGGATGTAATAGGTATCATCGGCAATATTTTAATTTGGAATTAATATTTTTGCCTACTTTTATTGTAAAATATATAGAAATATATTTAAAAAAAAAAAAAAAAAAAAAAAAAAAAAAAAAAAAAAGTAATTTATTTATATTTTAAGAGAGATGTTCGTTGTTTTAACTGCATTCTGGCCATGTTTCTATTATTTCCATACAGGATGATTATTATTATCTCTTGATGACATTCCATGCATCTTGCGATTTTCTATAATGGGAATGAATTTATAAAATTATAAGATTTATAGGAAGAGGGTTTTAACTACACAGAAATATATTATTTTAAAAACAGAGTTGAGGAGCTTTCTTTGTTTTATAAAATAAAGTTTATCGCTATAGTGCGTATGCGACTGGACGCCAGTTTTTTCAGAGTTCCAGGGGTGCGACTTTGTTCAAGTTAGCAACCGATCGTTTAGAAGCGATGTCGAAACCAGATCGATACTATGTTCGGCTACAAAATAGAGTGTCCCGCTCAAATGCTACGAAATATGGTATCACTATCACACTCTTGCACACGTGTCTAGACTGTCGCCTCGCCACAAAGCGAGTAATCAGAATATCGCTACGAATCGATGTTGCTACTGAACATAGTGCATCAAGCTACAAATTACTTTGCTATCGCTTTGAAACATGAACAAAGTTGCACCCCAGATACGTCTTGATTACAAAGCGCCCTTTGTTTTATTTCAGATACACGCAGGCTTATGTGTTATTATGTTTATATTTTGTTTTGAATAATAATCATTCTAAATATGTAGGTATATCCAATAAGAATGTTCGTTATTTTGACTGCATTCTGGCGAAATACATTTTCTATACAGGATGATCATTGTCTTGATGACTTTCCTCTGATATTTTGATTTTCTATTATAGAGAATGTTGCTGTCTTGGCAGCATTTTGGCTATATAAATTATCTATACAGAATGTCATTGTCTTGATGGCATTTCTGTAATAATTTGATTTACTATTATCCTTATTATACTATTGTGTGCTATCATAGGGAATTTTCGTTGTCTTGACTGCATTCTGGCTATATCAATTATCTGTACAGAATGTCATTGTCTTAGCAATACGTGGCG